TGGGTAAATACCTAGGAGTGGAATTGCTGGATCATATGGAAGCTCTATGTTTAGTAGGTCCAGAAATCTCCACACAGCTCTCCATAGTGGTTGGACCAGTTTGCACTCCCACCAACAGTGCACAAGAGTTCCTTTTTCTCCACATCCTCGCCAACATTTGTTGTTGCTAGTTTTTTTAATATGTGCCATTCTCACTGGTGTGAGATGGTATCTCATGGTAGTTTTAATTTGCATTTCCCTGATGACAAGTGATGTTGAACATTTTTTCATATGTCTGTTGGCCATTTGCATTTCCTCTTCAGAGAAGTTTCTTTTTAGCTCTTCTGCCCATTTTTTGACTGGATTATTTTCTTTGTTGTTGCTGAGTCTCATCAGCTCTTTGCAGATTTTTGTGATCAGTCCTTTATCATTAGTGTTGGGTGCAAAAATGTTCTCCCAGTTGGTGGGGTTTCTCTTTGTTTTTGTTATTGTCTCTTTTGCTGTGCAGAAGCTCTTTAATTTGATGTAGTCCCAGCTGTTTATCTTTCTCTTCACTATCACTGCTTTGGGTGATGTGTCTGTAAAGATGTCTTTGATGTGCAAATCCCGTAGTGTTTCGCCTATATTTCCTTCTATGTATTTTATGGTTTCAGGTCTTATGTCTAGTTCTTTAATCCATTTTGAGTTGATTTTTGTGTATGGTGTGAGGTAGTGGTCAAGCTTCATTCTTTTGCATGTAGCGACCCAGTTTTCCCAGCACCATTTATTGAACAAACTTTCTTTGCTCCAATGCATAGTCTTCGCTCCTTTGTCAAAGATTAGTTGACCATAAATCTGTGGGTTTATTTCTGGATTTTCTATTCGATTCCATTGGTCTGTATGTCTGTTCTTGTTCCAATACCATGCAGTTTTGATGATTATGGCTTTGTAGTAGAGTTTGAAGTCTGGGAGTGTGATGCCTCCATTTCCTTCTTTTTTTTTCAGTAGAGCTTTGGCTATTCGGGGTTTTTGGTGATTCCATATGAATTTCATCAATAATTGTTCTATTTCTTTGAAGAATGCCATTGAGATTTTGATTGGAATAGCATTGAATCTGTATATTGCTTTTGGTAGGATGGCCATTTTAATAATGTTTATTCTTCCAATCCATGAGCAGGGGATGTCTTTCCATTTCTTTGTGTCTTCTTCTATTTCTTTTAACAGTGTTTTATAGTTTTCTTTGTATAGGTCCTTTACCTCTTTTGTTAGATTTATTCCCAAATATTTGATTTTTTTTGTTTCGATAATAAAAGGGGTGGTTTTTTTGATTTCTTCTTCTTCAGATTTATTGTTTGTATATAGGAAGGCTACTGACTTTTGCGTGTTGATTTTGTATCCTGCCACTTTACTGAATTGATTGATGAGTTGAATTAGTTTTTCTGTGGAGATTTTGGGGTTCTCTATGTATATTATCATATCATCTGCAAATAGTGATAGTTTGACTTCTTCTTTTCCTATTTGGATTCCTTGGATGTCTTTCTCTTGTCTTATTGCTCTGGCTAGGACTTCCAGTATTATATTGAAAAGCAGTGGTGAGAGTGGACATCCTTGTCTTGTTCCAGATCTTAATGGAATTGCTTTCAGCTTTTCACCATTGAGAATGATACTGGCTGTTGGCTTGTCATAGATGGCCTTTATGATGTTGAGGTATGTTCCTTGTATCCCAAGAATTTCAAGGGCTTTTATCATGAATGGGTGTTGCACTTTGTCGAAAGCTTTCTCAGCATCTATTGATATTATCATATGGTTTTTATATTTCTTTTTGTTGATGTGTTGGATAACGTTGATTGATTTTCGGATGTTAAACCATCCTTGTGCCCCTGGAATGAATCCAACTTGGTCGTGGTGAATTATCTTATGGATACATTGTTGGATTCTGATAGCTAAAATTTTATTGAGGATTTTTGCATCAGTGTTCATTAGGGAGATTGGCCTATAGTTTTCCTTTTTTGTGTTGTCCTTATTCGGTTTTGGTATTAGTGTAATATTGGCTTCATAGAACGTGTTTGGTATTGTCCCTTCCTTCTCAATTTTTTGGAAGAGTTTGTGAAGGATAGGCACTAATTCGTCTCTGAATGTTTGGTAGAATTCATTTGTAAATCCATCAGGTCCTGGGCTTTTGTTTTTGGGGAGGTTTTTAATTACCATTTCAATTTCGCTGCTTGTAATTGGTCTGTTTAGGTGTTCTATTTCTTCTTTATCTAGCGTTGGGTGATTGTAGAGTTGTAGGAATTTGTCCATCTCCTCTAGATTGTTGAACTTGTTTCCATATAACTGTTCATAGTAGTTACTGATTATTCTTTTGATTTCTGCTGTGTCCGTTGTGATTTCTCCTCTTTCATTTATGATTCTGTGTATTTGTGCTTTCTCCCTTTTTTCCTTTGTGAGCCTGGCTAGGGGTTTGTCTATTTTATTTATTTTTTCAAAGAACCAGCTCTTGGTTTCATTGATCTTTTGGATTGTTTTTTTAGTTTCAATTTCATTTATTTCTGCTTTGGTTTTTATTATTTCTTTTCTTCTACTGGTTCTGGGGTTTTTTTGTTGTTCTTTTTCTAGATCTTTGAGCTTCGAGATTAGGTTGTTTCTTTGAGTTCTTTCTTGTTTTTTGATGTGAGCTTCTATTGCTATATATTTTAGGACCTGATTCTTAACTAGACCCGTTCTTAACTGAGATCTGATACCAGAGCTGTACTTTTGATTGCAGTGAACTTTAATAAAAATCTTTAACTGTCAAATAGAATTCATCTCCATAGTATTTTGCTTCTGGAAGTATGCATTTTTACCAATCAGGCCAATAAAAATATAGCTTCTTTATTATTTCAGGAGTTGTGACAATTTAATACAATGTATAGAATTAAAAAGCTATAATGCTTCTTTGCATCAGATCTTTTTTTTTTTTTTTTTTTAATAGAGGCATGTTTTATTTATTTATTTATTTGTTTTGTTTGTTTTGTTTATACATGCACTGGGTACAGTCAGAAGCGCGGGAGGGTGAGAGAATTCACCAGAGCCAGAGCGGGGAGCAGAGCAGGCAGAAGGACCGAAGTACACTGCTGAGGGGAGCAGCGGGCGGCAGGAGAGGTCTGCGCGCCATGTGGGACCCTCCTCCGGTGGCCGGGGAGCAGCCGGGGATCGAACCGGCACCGCAGAGGCCGCGGGCAGCTTTGCAACCCAGCGCTCAACCGCTGCGCCACCGGGGAGGCCCTGCATCAGATCTTAATACTGACATTTGAGGACGATATTGGTGGAAATGGGGAAATGATAGAATCTAATTTTATGTTATCATGTAGGAGAGCATGAAACTTTCTGTTAAAGGGCCAGACAGTAAATATAGCAAATGGCTTTGAAAGCCATTTGGTTTCTGTTGGAACTACTTACTTTTCTAAAGTAGCCATAGATATATATAAACAAAAGTGTGTTACTGTCTTTCAGTTAAGCTGCAAAAGCAGGTAGCCAGAATATGGAACATTTGCCAGCCTGGTTACAGAGAATCTTTTAATTTATACAAATGATAGATAAGATTTATTTTTGATGATACGTTGTTTTTGCAGAGTGGATATTTTCCCTTACTGAAATTTATTGGCATCTAATAATAAAGAACACTTCTTTTCAGCATGTCTCTGTCTGCCTAGATTAATTACCTAATAAATTATTTGATAATTCTAGATATACTTTTTTTTTTTTAAAGTTTGCTTTAAATGTTTGTTAGTTGGAGGAGGGGACACAACATTTCTACTCAATTAAGAGAAACGTTTTTATAGTCCAGAGGTCTTTTGTTTTTTTCCCCCATTACCTATCATGCCTTGAATTCATAGAGGATGGATTGTAGCAGCTCGTAATCCTTTCCATTGGTTCTCACAAAGTGTCCTTCTTTGGTTGGAGTAGGCTGGTGTTTCACTGGAACCCAAGTTTACCTTTTTGACTTCCTTATTTTTCTGATGATTTTTTTTTTTCATAGGTTTCAGGAAACTATCCTGGCTCTTATAGTGCTTGCTATGCTCAATATGAACTGTAATTCTCTTAGCAATAATCTTGCCTTTGTTTACAACAATGCCAAGTGCATGCTGGTCCACATTATAGACACTTCCAGTTTTGTTGTGGTAACCTTTGTGGGGCATTTCTTTTTGAATAGTGCCTGTTCTCTTGATGTCTACTTGTAGATTCACATATGTGGTCAACGGAACAACTTCATATTTTCTTTTTTCAAAGATTTATTTATTTATGCATGTAAGAGCTGGGGTGCAGGCCAGAGATGGGGGGTCGGGGTGGGTGAGAGAATTCACCAGAGACTGAGTTGGGAGCAGAACAGAAACACACTGCTGAGGGGAGCAGCAGGCGAGACAGGAGAGGTCTGCTGCACCATGTGGGTCACCTCCCTGGCAGGGGATTGAACTGGTGCTGCAATGGCTATAGATAGGTGTAGTGCTGAGACTTAAACCCTTATGCCACCAGGAAGGCCCCAGAACTCCGTATTTTCTAAAAGAGCTAGAGAACATGTAGCTAGTGCCTCTACTTTCCCTTTGTGTTGGTCATTTTGGTGATTTACTGGAAGATGGTGGCTCGTGTTGAAAGGACCAGGATATACTTACTTACTCATTTCTTAGATACCAGTTTTTTATCTTGAAAAAAATTCAGTTTAGAAGTTTTCACTGCAAATTCTGACAAGCTTTATCATAAATTAGGAAGAATTACTATAAAAGATGACATATAATTGGGTGATTAGTTTATTTGAATTTATTTTGAAAAGTCATAGATTGACTTAGATCAAGATTTATTGTGTATACTGTTGAATTTTGTAGATTCAGAATTAGTACTATGGTATAGTGAGTTTTCAATATTTTATAGATTCCTTATTACAAGCAGGTTTAACCCTACAAATGCCTGTGGTGCCACAAAGCTTTATTAAATGTAAGTTATTTTTGGTATTGGTTAATATGGTATGTTGTATATTAAATCTAATACAGGCTTTTTATTACTTCCAGAGATTCGTCAGCGAACTGCAGCTCAAAGAAACCTTTCTCCAACACCAGCAAGCCCTAGTCAGGGACCTCCTCCGCAAGGTCCAGTGTCTCCTGGATCACCAAAGGACTCTTCAGCCCCTGGTGGACCCCCAGAAAGAACTGTTGCTCCAGCCTTATCGTCAAATGTGTTACCAAGACGTCTTGGATCCCCTGCTACTTCAGTGCCTGGAATGGGTAAACAGAGCACTTAATGTTATTTACAGTTTATATTGTTTCCTCTGGTTACCAATAAAACGGGCCATTTTCAGACGGTATGGAAATGGCATTTCATTTGGAAATAGCAGAGCAGTTATCTGATTAAGCGGGAGTTCCATATTCAATTAGCCATAACTCTTTACAGCTGGCACCTTGTGATACAGAAACCTATTTCTTGAGCTCATTTAACTGTTATGGCTTCTTTGTTTAAATGGCAATAAAACTTTGTAGTATTCTGTAGTCAACAATATAGTATGTCTTTATATTCAGCTTTAGAATTGCTCCAGATTTATATAAAATGGAGGAGGAAGAGGACCTTTTTGGAATATGTTTATGTTTTTTGCTGAATCCTCTACATATATTTTTAAACATGACAATTATTTCAGGAAGAATATTCCTGCATAGTGATATGCAATACTACTTTTGTTAACAAGGGATGGTAGATTTTTCTTTTAAGTCATGGAATCATAATATATCCTGACATATTTTAGCATAGCTGCCTTTACTACTGTCTCACCCCTTTGAGAATTTGAATGGTAGAGTTCTAAGGAAAGATACATTTTGGATTACAATAGATTATATTAACCTCTTTTGGAGTGTGATTTAGATATGGAAACTGTAGCTTCAGCAGATAACAATATTTCATGTAAATTTCCATGTCAATTCTTGAATATGATAGTAAATTATCTTATGTAGGGACATTTAATTATAATTTAGATTACTTTGGTATTTCATTACTAATTACTAATATGTAACTTTTAATGATTTTGAGACTATGAAGTAGGTGATACCAGATATTCAGGACATTTATGTAATAAAATAAGCCAGCATTCTAAATGTTATTACAGTAGATTTTTGTCTTGCTTTTCTTAAAAAAACAGTATAGATTTTAGAAAATAATTTATAAAGAAAGTTGGCTACAAATATATACAAATCATAACTTTTGAAATAGTTGCTGAAAAAATACTTTTAAATCTGACATATTTTTGAAATTTAGGAAAATTAAATTGTTTGAAAATGAGACACTTTTCAGTAATCTGGTTGATTTGAGATACCCAGGATTTTTAAAGTAAAGTTCTTAGTTGTCTAATGAAAGAACTTTTTGGAGGGAATATGCATACAATACATATATTTGTGTACCTAATTAGCAACTTACAGATAGTAATAAAAATGATATTGTACATACAGGGTTAAGGTTATAGGAGGCACAGTGGCCTAAATTTTGTGATCATGAAAATATAAGTTTATTGAAGATTTTAAGTGTAAAAGACACTTGTACATTGCCAAAAATGTGAGTTAAGTGATTTCTTATAGAGAAGATTAATAATTCATTTTTTCATTATGCCATATTTATGGAAGTGATTCAATTTAATGTGTATTACAACAGGGCTTCCATATGTTTGAAAATTAATAACCAGCAGGTACTTGATAATTTGCCAAGCTGTGTGAGAATGACCAGTATTCCTATAATGATTGCCCTTGTTGTTTGTATTAATTACTGTTATCCATAACAGCATGAATACGAAGATGCATTATTTTTAAAGTTGTTTACTATGCAAGGAGCTTAAAATATGAAACCTGTTGTTTCATGTATTTATATTCTTTTATGGAACTTTTCATTTTAAATTTGTGGAAGGAAAATATTCCAGTAAAGGTTAAGTTGGCTTATATGCTTTCAAAATTCAATTTGGCATGCTTATTCAAGCTGAAAATTTATAATGAGGGATGACTTTTTTATTGAGGTAAAGTGGTTTATAACAATTCAGAGGTATAGGTTTACAACTCTTAAGATATGTGTTAACACACCATACCCACCACAGTCATAGCATAGCATCTTCCACCAAGGTCCATTGGGCCTCCTCTCTCTTTTGTTCCCCATCCTGCACCCACCCCCCTGCTACCTTCATTTCTATAGTCAGGTTTCTAGAGTTTGTTTTGGTTTAGTTTTGTCTATTGCTCTGTTTCCTCTCTTTGTATTCCACATGTGATTGAAATTATCCTGTATTTGTCTTTTTCCTTCTGGCTTATTTCACTGAACATAATCCTGATGGATGATATTTAAGATTTGCACTTGTTTATTTTTTTGTGATAGTGAGTAAATGTTGTTAGGCAAGTAAGCCAATAACTTCTCTGATGAAATCTGAGAAATGTATTTTATTTATATTAAAAATAATATAAAATATATTCTTACATATATATATATTTATCTTATATTCTTATATTAAGAATTATATTGAATGTTAAGTTACTCTGGAATCTGAAGTTTATTTACTAGTAGCTGTAATTTTGACATCAACTATACTGTTTTATTTTATTTATTTTAAAAAAAGATTTTTTAAAATTTATGCATATAAGAACTGGGGTCCAGGCCAGAGGTGCAAGGGAAGGGAGGTTCTGCAGGATATGTGTGAAAGGATTCACCAGAGACAGAGTGGGGAGCAGAACAGGCACATTGACTGAAATACACTGCTGAGGGGAGCAGCGGGTGAGACAAGAGAGGTCTGTTGCACCTTGTGGGTTAGCTCCCTAACCAGGAATCAAACTCATGTTGCAGTGGCTAGTTAGCTTGATAGCACTAAGACTTTAACCCCTGTGCCACCAGGGAGGCCCTAATTGCCCTTTTTTAGATGGTAACAGCCTTTAGGTTTGTGATTATTTACAAATTTTAAAACTAACCCTTGAAAACTGACCATAGATCTGAGGCACCCAGGAGGTTAAGGGAAGGAGGAAGAAGTGGGGGAGGGGAGAAACCAGAGAGGAAGGAGCACACAGTGGACAATGTGGGGGGGACTATGAGTGCTTTGGTGGTTGGAAAACTATGCTGACAACACTTAAGGGGAGAAATCCTAATTGTGAAAAAACAAATCAGGATATAAAATAGTGATATGTCATTAAAAATATAAAATAAAAAACGTTCCAAGATATCAAGAATAAACTTTTTCCAGTGTTTCACCTTGGCTCTCAGAAATAATTGTTACATTACTTAAAGAATCCAGATTACCCAGATTTAGGGTCATCCCTAGAGAAGTATGAAAGAAAAAGTAGGAGGAAATAAATAACCTTTTTATCACAGAAAGCTACCTTAAGGCAGTGCAAACATCTATGAGCAATGTTTTGTCACATGAAGGCATCTCCTCCTTCTTATATGAGACCCCCTCCTTAATGTTGTTTTCTGGCTTGCTTGTTTTCTAATGGGGAATCTGCTGTTATTCTACCTTTGTTTCTCTGTACATAATGCATCTTTTTCTGTTTTAAGGTTTTCTCTGTATCTCTTGTTTTAAGCAGTTTTATTCATGTCTCGGTACAAAGTTATGTTTTTTGTGTTTGAGATTTGTTGATAATTTTGAAACTGGGAATTTCTAGTTTTCATCAGATGAGGAAAATTTTTATGCATTATTTCTTCAATATTCTTTCTTTTCCTCCTTTCTTTCTTCTTTTTTTTTTTTTTTTTTTTTTTTTTTGTGGGACCCTCGTGGGACCCTCGCCGGTGGCCGGGGATCGAACTGGGTTGCTGCCTCGCAACCCAGTGCTCAACCGCCGCGCCACCAGGGGAGGCCCACTTTTCCTCCTTTCTTTATGGACTCCAATTATATGTGTATTAGGCAGGATGAGGTTGCACCACACCTTCCTGATAATTTGTATATATCTTATAAATGTTCTAGTCTTTGCTCTGTGTTTTGTTTTATATGGTTCCTACTGCTACACTTTCATGTTTACTAATAATTTTTTCTCTGATGTCCAAACTGCTATTCATCTGTCTGTAGATATTTCATTCTAGATGTGGTTTTCATCTATAGAAGTTCAACTTTTTTCTATGTTGAAGCTTTCCTCTAGATTCTCAAGCATGTTTAATTTAGTCATAATAAATGTTTAGATGTTTTTGTTTACTAATTTTATTTGTCATTTCTGGCTCACTTTTGATTGATTTTTCTCATTATGGATTTTATTTTATTTGTATGTCTCATAATTTTTGGTTTGATGCCAGACGTTGTGAATTTTACCTTACTGGATGCTGGATATTTTTATATTCCTGTACAAAACTCTGAATACTTACCCAGTGACCTGTGAATTATGAAGTTTCACTCTGGCTAGTGGGGACATGCACAAGTTTAGCTCCCCATGAGCACTGTTTCCTTGAATATTTTTGGGTGGCTCTTTCTCTGCTTGTGGGTAGTATCCTCACATGCATGAGCCAATTCAGTACTCTGCTAAATACCCTTGGGAGACCTCTACAGATCGTTGGTATTCTTGCTTTGCTTATTCTCTCCTATCTGGCACTCCTTCTTGTGAAATCAAGCTACCTTGACCTTCCCAGAGTTCCAGCTTTCTCTCTTCAACTCAGGGAGACTGAGGCATTTTACCTGGGTTTTTTCTCTCTGAGCTGCAGCCTTGAAACTCCCCAACCAACAAGTCAAAGCATTTGTAATCTTCATCTTATTTGCTTTTTATTCTACATTGCCTAGTTGGTAGTCAGTGTTTTTAAAACTGCTGCATCACAAATTTTGCATGGTGTGTTATTATTTCAGTTGGGAAGGTAAATCTGACCCATAACTTTATTATGGTCCAAAGTAGAAGTCCCCTCATTTATTAGTATGTGAACTTTAAAAGTCTGGGTATTTTTAAAAATTAGTTTGTACAGAAACATGCTGTCATTACCTAATAGATTATGTTGGTAGTTCTGATATAGCACTACTTCTTGTAGTGCAGTATTTTTAATGAAAATTTGAATGTTCTATGGAGATTTTTAAGAGCCAATAATATTTTTGTTTTGTTAAAGTCTTATGATAAGCCTAGATAGTCTTCTGATAAGCCTAGATAGTTCTGATAAGCCTAGATAGTTCTTGGTAAGTGAGTTAAAATTTAAATGTACTTTATACCTATAAATTTTACATGTATTTATTTACTAGGTCTTCATCCTCCGGGTCCACCTTTGGCAAGACCCATTCTTCCCCGAGAACGAGGTGCTCTGGATAGAATTGTTGAATATTTAGTTGGTGATGGACCACAAAACAGGTAATGTTTGCTAGAGTAGTAGATAAATAAAAAAGAAGAAAAAGTTATTGGCTAGGCTGTGTGTATCCATGTACTAGATATTCTAGTGATTATAGATCATAATGGAATATTTTGTAGCCCAGCAAAAAAATACATGTTCAGTAGTTTTTCAGTAGGAGTTTGGATAAAGTAGTCAAGATAAACTGTAGAAAAATGTATAACATATAATAGAAAAATATAACTATTATAACCCTACCAAATGATTGTTTTTAGAGAAATTAAATCATTGCATTGAAATTTACACTTGAAGAGCACAAAATAATGAAAGCTTGGTAGGTTATTAGAAATGGAGTTTATATGTGTCAGTACTAGACTTGGTGAGGGTGATAATTTTATTTATTTTTTAAAAATATTATTTATTTATACAAGCACTGGGTACAGTCAGAAGTATGGGAGGGTGAGAGAATTCATCAGAGCCGAAGGGGAGAGCAGAGCAGGCAGACGGATGAAGTACACTGCTGAGGGGAGCAGCGGGCTGCAGGAAAGGTCTGTGCGCCATGTGGGACCCTCACCAGTTGCCGGGGATCGAACTGGCGCTGCAGAGGCTGCTGGCAGCTTCGCAACCCAGCGCTCAACCACTGCACCACCGGGGAGGCCCGAGGGTGATAATTTTAATAAAAATAAAGACAATTTGCATGTATTTGGAACTTATAATTCTCAAAATGTCTTCTAATTATTATAGAAGAATAGAATTTAATGTTAATATAATTATGTATTACTCAAAATAGATTATTGTTAGATATGGTCAGGTTTTGATAAATGCATACACAGAGAACAGAGAAAGAAAATATTTAAATAGAAAATAAGGAAGATACTTAAGTGTAACTGGGGTTAGATACAGGAATAATGATGTACAGAAATAACCTTTGGGCTAGAGAAAATTAAATCCATTTCCTTACTACAAGACTTTTTGATAATAATATTCACTGTGAATCTCTAAGTGATTCCATCTTTTCCAATCCTGTCAGACCACAAATTTGGGATCCCAAGAATATATGTTGAAAGACACTGAAACGTTAATGTTGTTATCAAGTCTTTCTGCTAACTTAGTAATGATACATTAATATGACTGCTGCTTAGTTTTAGTTTGATGTATAAATTATACTTTGGAATGTTTGAAATTTGGCTCTTGCTTTTAAAGAATATTGTTTACTAAGTTGCATCTAATCTGTTAAAACATAAGTAACTATGTTAAAATATAAATTAGCTGTAATAACTAAAATATCCTCTCATGAGTTTTGTCTCCATTTATAACTTGTCTACTTTTTCTTCTTCTTTTTTTTTTTTTTTTTGCTTAGAGAAAGAAAAAAATTATTAAGGAGAAAAGGAACAGAAAAATAACTTGTCTGCTTTTTTTGGGGGTGTAGGTATGCCCTTATATGTCAGCAGTGTTTTTCTCATAATGGCATGGCTTTGAAAGAAGAATTTGAATACATTGGTAAGAATTATTAGCAATTAGATTTAAATATTTTATGTCAATTCCTATGTAATGGCATTTATTTTAGGTACTGTCTTTGTATATATTGCTCAGGCACATTGTTCTTACTTTAGAACACAAGGCAGATAGAGAATGCATGTTTCTTACTTAAACAATGTGCAACCTCTCAGCTAGTTGTTCTCAAATTTCACTATCACAATCACCTGACAAGCTTTTAAAAATTATGATGCCCAGCACCCAGCTATAAAGACCTTAATTGATTTGGCCTGGGGTCCATGGATCAGTACCTTTTTATTTTAAGCTACTCAGATAATTCTCATATGTAGCCATTATTTTAAAACCACCGAACTCAGTTAATTATGCTTTTCAGCTAGGACAGACAACATTTTCTTGGCAGATCAGTGAGATTTTGTATTTTAAAATAACATGATTCTGATTATTAGAAATGTGATTTTTTTACTGTAATATATTTAGATTATTATTAGTACTGCTTTGCCATTAGTTAACTTGATGTATAACTTACTGTTTTCTGCTTTAAAGTTAATGTTGTAATTCTATAAAGTAGAAAGCATGCTTTAAAATTAGCTTTGATTAGAACACCTACCATCATAATACTAAAATCACATAAATTTCAGAAATGATAAATAACTTTTGAAGGGTTCTTTGCCTTTTTGTAAAAGTAATCTTGAGTGTCCTTGAATTTTCTTTGGTTTGTGGTTTTATTTTTTAAATTCTCTGCAGCTTTTCGATGTGCCTACTGTTTTTTCTTGAATCCTGCAAGAAAAACCAGACCCCAGGCGCCAAGACTTCCAGAGTTTAGTTTTGAGAAGCGGCAGGCAATGGAAGGCTCAACTTTAGTTGGTCCCTTGCCCTCAGGAAGTGTGATTTCATCAGAGAACCAATTTAGTGAAGGTATGAATATGTTTAAATTTTTATTTGAAAAATAAAAATTTTGCTGTTTAACAATAAAGGCATAATGCTTTTAGATAATAATGCATTAATAGATCATATTTTGCTGTATGCATATATCAGCTATTGCCCTGATCATAGCTTTCTGTATGATTGGTATGATGTGTTCCTTTTTTTTTTTTTTTTTTTTTTTTGGTGGGACCCTTGCCGGCAGTTGAGGAATGAACTGGCGCTGCAGAGGCTGCGGGCAGCCTCGCAGCCCAGCGCTCAACTGCTGCGCCACCAGGGGAGGCCCTCGATGTGTTTCATTTTTAAAATGCAAGTTGTATTGTATTAAGCAAAATCTAGCAACAGCTAGGTAAACATTATGGCGTGACCTTGTCCAATAACTTGTGAGATCTGACTGATATGTTCTTGTTGAATCATTTTATTTTTCTTTTATTTGAATGAATTATGAAACTACTTAATAAGGGTTAAATTCTTATAAAATTTTAAATATTAATGAAATAAGTTTGTCCCTACCACCACTTGAATTGGTAGACATTACTAGAAAGCAGGAAACTTTGAAAGTTTCTTTGCATTCTTATTTTTTTTGTTAAGATTTATTTATTTATGCATACAAGAATTGAGGTACAGGCAAAAGGTGCAGAGGGTGAGAGGATTCACCAGAGATAGAGTGGGGAACAGAACAGGCAGACAGACTGAAATACACTGCTGAGGGGAGCAGCAGGCAAAACAGGAGAGGTCTGCTGAACCATGTGGGTAGCTCCTTGGCTGGCTGGGGGATGGAACTCATGCTGCAGAGGCTGCGGACAGCTTCACAGTGCTGTGCTTAACTCCTTATGCCACCAGGGAGGCCCTTCTTTGCATTCTTTCATGACAGTGTTGATAGGACTGGCGTACCTTTGAAATGGTTTGTAGAGGTTAACATCGTTGATGCATGTGCTTGATATAGAACAACCTTATAGTAGAGAAACAGAATTTATCAGACTTCACTGCCTTTTATTTTTTTTATTTTATTTTTTTTCTTAAAGGGAAAGTTTCCAGGTCTTTTTTTTTTTTTTTTTTTTAAAAGATTTATTTATTTATTTATACAAGCACTGGGTGCAGTCTGAAGCACGGGAGGGTGAGCGAATTCACCAGAGCCAGAGCTGGGAGCAGAGCAGGCAGAAGGACCGAAGTACACTGCTGAGGGGAGCAGCGGGCGGCAGGAGAGGTCTGCGCGCCATGCGGGACCCTCCTCCGGTGGCCGGGGAGCAGCCGGGGATCGAACTGGCACTGCAGAGGCTGCGGGCAGCTTCGCAACCCAGCACTCAACCGCGGCACCACCGGGGAGGCCCTTCACTGCATTTTAAAACTCAACTTCAAGTTCTGTTTTAAGAATTCTTGAGTGGTTTCATGAAAAATAATCGAAAACATAAGATGGAAGATTTGACTATTGCAACTATTTTTTTGTTAGGAGCTATTTGTTAAGCAACTCTGAGTTATGAAGATTGCTAAAATTATGACACAGACACTGATCTTGGTGTTATGACTGGTATAGGAAAAAATCCATATTTGAAATTCATATAATTTAATGTACATATTTTTATATTAAAGTAAAATATGTATGATTTTGTATAATTCATATAATTTATTTAGCAGTCAGTATTCTTTTAATTCTAAGATTTATTATTTGCATATATTTATTTATCAAAGCTTTGAGAATTGAAAAAATTGCTTTAACAGAGAATATTGAAGCAGTGAATTTTCAGATATCAGAAGTTTAGTGTGAAGATTTAAGTACCTTTTTAAAAAAATTTTGCAGAGTGAACTTAAAATACATATGCTAACTTGGGGTTGGCTTTTGGCTAACAAATGTCAAAATGAATTTGAATACAGATAGCCATTACAGGAGGCTTGTATCCTACTTCCAATACTGAATCAATACAATTGTCTTCTCCAAGTCTGCAACATCAACTCCAAATCCAATATAAAATTTTTTTCTTATGCTTCAGTCATGCTCCGAGCTGCATGCTGTCACATACAAATCATCTGTCTTGCCATGCAACCTCTTGGAACTGAAAATTTAAGGACTTCATGGTGAAGATGCCTAGAGGAATAATTGAAGTCATTTCCATGAATAACTTAGCTTGTGAAAGCTAATGTGGATATTTGCAAGCCAATAGTTGGGGAAAATAATGGAAAAATCAGCCAACAAAACAAAAATCTTGACAATGAATCCCATTCTTTATGTCTTCCTCTAAGGTCTAGATGGATAGTTAGCAAACAACACCCGCTATACCTTTCCTTCTCATCTAATTTAGGAGGAGCAATGCCCCAGATGTCTTATTTTCTGTATGAAACCCCTGGAATGAAGTCTAACTGCCTCCAACTCAGTCCTGATAAGGTAATGTTAATAGGTGAAGACAAAATTTCTATAAGATTCTGATACTCCTTAGTACTAGAAATTGAAGCAACAATTCCATGTAGTTAAGGTAGTCTTTAGAATAGTAAACTGTTCATACTTCTCTTTGGATTCATCAAAATGGCAATAAAGCACCTTTTACTTCTTTGGCTTTCCAGAAGATTGAAACTTTTCTCCAAGACTACGGCCTCAACAATATGATAAACAGTTATAAATTTCAAGCTGGATTCCTTTAGTAAATGACTGGAAGTATTTCTGATGAACAGATGAAGCTGCGATGGTTTTGAACACCGGTGGCATACTTTTATGATTAAATTGAACTATTAAGACTGTATCATCTTACTCACCTCCTCTCCATGCTGACAGCCCATGTAATTGAAAGATTAGATTTCTGATTTCTACATTCTTGAAGAAATTTAGATCTGGAAAAAATCTTTCCTGCTTTAATATATATGTTCATATAGTATATATACATGCTTAGTACTAGAAATTGAAGCAACAGAAAGATATGCAGCATATCTTCTGCACTAATGTACTATAGGTTATTGAAGTTATAGATGGAACCATTTGTAACCTAGAATTAATAGAGGAAGCCTTTTTTATTTTTCTATTCTATGATGCAAGACTTTGAAATTAAATTTTGTCTTGGTTCTGCTACTGGAAGACTTTACATTTAGGATGAGGCACAAGACCCTTGTAATTTTTCGACCACTCTTTAGAACATATCTTCTGCACTAATATGGAATCTTGGAAAGTTTTCAACAAAGAAGGAGACCTAGAAGAAATTTCTCCCAATGATTGTTCATTTGAGTTCCTAGAATTTTTTTCTAGAACTGTGTATACAGATGCTTTGGAAATAGAGTATTAGAGAAACAAGAAATTAGGACTATGGGTTATCTTTTTATCTAACAGATACTAGATACATCAAACTAATGAACTGCTTTTAGGTTTCTCAGTTTCTCTTATGGTTAAAAGAATAGGACAATAATTCTTGAATCTCTGAGAAGCCACACTAAAGTGGTCTATAAATTTTACTTTTTTTAAAAAAGTGTATTTCCAAAAATACCTGATAAGCTTTCTGTTTAGATAACTGGAGTACTTTATGGATAATTGTGGATAGAGTACATGGTTCCTACATTGTTTATATACTTACAGAGTGATTTTGGCCTACCATGTTTGAAAACTTTAATGTTGCTTTCATTGCTCAGTTGTATTTGTGTAGATCTCACGTCACTATTTTATTAGAAAATAGCTTTTATTCATTTGGAAATATTAAAAATAATGGCTTCTAAACAAAACTAAAATAGCAAGTAAAATTTGCCCTGATAATCTGATTTCTGCTCTTTATTTATTAAGATTTATTTATGCATACAAGAGCAGGGGCACAGGCCAGAGATGCGGGGGGGTGAAAGAGGATCCACCAGAGACAGAGTGGGGAACAGAACAAGCAGATCTACTGAAATACACTACTGAGGGAGCAGCGGGTGAGACAGGAGAGGTCTGCCTCGCCATGTGGATTTCTCCCTGGCCAGCTGGGGATTGAACTCCTGCTGCAGAGGCTATGGATTGCTTCATAGTGTGGTGCTTAACCCCTTGCACCACCAGGGAGGCCCTCTGCTCTTTATTTTAAGTAATATACTGTTACTATTAAGTTGAACTAGGAAAAATTCTCTTTTTAGTGTTGTTTGTTATGATGCTTAACTTGAATTATTTGATAATGTAATTTTTGTTTTATTGAATTCTGTGTATTACCAGATTCAAAAAGCTTTTACCTTTATATATATTTAATTATGTATAGCTTACTCAGGATGTAATTTGCCTGTAGTATGGTGTTTCATTTTAGTATTGACATAGAGATGTTTTGGCCTTGTGATTCCCTTTTCTAAATTATCTTTACTAGTAGTTTTATAGCATTGCTTAATAATGAAATTCTTACTCATCCAATGTATTGGTTTACTAATAGTAAATAAATGGTATTCTGTGCATTTGAATACAAGATTTTTCTCAAAGTTGTTGGTTATGTAATTGGATTTTATTCATTGAGTCATTGGGTTGAGTTGGGAAGAAATTCATGTCTGTTCCTTAAATAGAAGCTGGCCATTTTCTGTAAGGCAGAAAAATCTTGTAAAAATCATTTTGTTTAAAACCATTGAGTTCAAAGACAACTTGTACATTTTAACATTTCCTTTGGATATGTTTTATAATATACAAATATAATGGGTACTGATGTTAGCAAGGCAAAAGAAAAAAACCTTTCATTGTTAAAAAGGAATTAAAAGGAAAAAATCTAAATTAATTCACCAAAATAAATGGGCTTTTTTGAAAGTATAACTTAAATAGAATCATATATTTTCCTGTGGAAATTAAATATTTCCTTTGGAAGTAAAATTGTTTTACTAGATGATTCTTTAGTTTTCTTAGAGATATTTTCTTTTAAGAGCTAGAATAAATACCTAAAGGTAAGGTGATACTCATGTTTTTGCATGCGTGTATTTATTGGGGAGTAGTGGTATTCATTATACATTTATGCTCAGTTTTATAAGTTTGAGTTGTCTAGCTTTGTCTAGTTTGAATTTGCCCAAACAACTGGAAGCAATTGTTACAGTGTGGTAGGGAAAGCTTTTCTCTCAAGAATATTGGAATAGGAGTGGGGCAGGGGCCGGAATGGGCAAAGGGTCATTTGTATTTTATCACATTGTGGTATATTGTTTTCCCGGCATTACTGATGCCATAGTTGATTGTCAAAAATTTCCTAACTCTGGAATCAGGTCATTCAGATAACTTTCAAATTTAATATTAAACTGGTACTAAATGGGGGGAGAGTAGGCCTGCTGAATTAGTATGAATGCAAAGACTGGTTTCTCTTTGAGTACTTTATGTCTAAAATGTTAACATCTTCTATGTTTTATACCACTAAGCTCCTTAAAGTATAACCTCACAGGAAAAAAATGTACTTTTTTTTTTTTTAGAATAGGCGCATGATTCTCTCCCATAGAAATAAAATACTTTTGGAATATTTAATCATCTTATTATAAAGTAATTAAATGATTGTTAATTAGTTATTAAACTAATATGTAATACCCTCTTAATCTTGCACACCTAGTTCACTTAAATCTCATTTCAATCACTTCTCACAAAATAGCACAGGCATCCAAACATTGAATATCTATTTCATTTAGTAACTAGCTGATGCCTGCATTGTAGGCATCATGACACATCAATTTTTTATTCGGTTACTGCTATTAAAATTAACCTGGGGAAGAAATATAGTCATTAATCTGGAATCTCATTATTTTCAAGCCCTATTCACCATTTCACCATATTTTAGTCTTCATATATTCTCTGAAATACAATACAGCATTGACCACATGCTTTGTAACTGAGTTATTGTCTTCTACATGGCATTTCTTTGAATTCATGTTTATAGACATTTAAAATTTTCAGGATTATAGTTTTTCTTTTTGTACTAACTTCTTATTTAAGACTCCAGAATTTAAAAAATAAATTGGATGTGACTAGTAACCTGTTTCTGGAAATAGTGACATCACACAGCTTTAATATGATAAATCTTGAACTTTGATACCTCTCATCTATAAGTTCAGTATGAGACTTTTTTGTGTGTGAGTTCTGGATTTTGAGTTTTTGTTTTTTTCATGTCATATGGCTTTTCTGGTTTGTTTCAGAGACTTACTAAATTACAACATTTTAAAGTTCTTGGCAAGTAAATATTGCTCTAAGGCCAGAGAATTGTGGAAAACCGTGACTCTTAAAATTCAACTCTGGATAAATTCTTTGAAGGTAGAATTACAAATAGTTGGCAGCTCCTAAAGTTTTCCACTGCAGAACTTGCCTGCCCTGTAGGACCTGTACATGCTCACAAGGTTTCATTTGCACTTTCTGCTTCTCCTTTGTGCACTGCGACATTCAAATGACAAAACTCATATTGCCTACTCCTTCTCTATTTTGGATTTTTTTCTAAGATTGCAAGTAATGCCATTTTTAAGTTCCCTTTAAGAAATTAGGTCACAAATATCATTGTGAGTATTCCCCACTACTTTTTGTGATCATGTGAAATTTTTATACAGTAAAACCTTGTTTTATCCTAAGTGGTCTCTCATCCCTCAAGATTTAAACCTCTAGGTCTGAAAATGCTACATACCTAGAACCACAATGCTTGGGCGAGAAAGAGGAGGGCCTTTTCCCATCACGCACCAGAAGCTAAGCAGAGGTCTTGATCTCTCCCTTAAAATTTACTTCCTTTATACTCTCTTCAGAGTTTCATTAAATTCAAATCCTTTAATATATAATTCAACATTTTATCAAATAAAATATTGTGTCTTTGGAAAAGGTAGATCCTGACTTCCTCAGTGTTTGAATAATAGAGGTACAAATTAGTATGGGAAATAGCACCCCCCTACACCCTGACCCTTGCACACAGAGGAAAAGGGAGACTGGGTAAAAGGGAGGTAATAGTGCACTTGCTTTGTTTGCTGGGTGGTTGTCTTATAGCACCCAATTCTGTTGGGACTTTCTTATATTTGGACATTCAACTTTCAAATACATTTTAGGAGCTTAATTTTATGAAAATATAGGACTTTGTATAAAAGGGTTTGTTTACTCCAAATTGTGTTCCTTTCTTCATTTATTCCAGTTCATATGTGGTATGTTATTAGGAATTAAGTACATCTTTTAAAATATTATAAGGATAGGGCCTCCCCGGTGGCGCAGCGGTTGAGCGCTGGGTTGCGAAGCTGCCCGCAGCCTCTGTGGCGCCGGTTCGATCCCCGGCTGCTCCCCGGCCACTGGAGGAGGGTCCCACATGGTGCGCAGACCTCTCCTGCCGCCCGCTGCTCCCCTCAGCAGTGTACTTCGGTCCTTCTGCCTGCTCTGCTCCCCTCTCTGGCTCTGGTGAATTCTCTCACCCTCCCGCGCTTCTGACTGTACCCAGTGCATGTATAAACAAAACAAACAAACAAATAAATAAATAAATAAAGCATGCCTCTATAAAAAAAAAAAAAATATTATAAGGATAATAGGCTATTATACGCTTAGTTCATATATGTGTGTATTTATCTTTTGCTTACCTTATGTAGTGGTTTTGACATTTGGGTATTCCTAAAGTCTTGATTCTTTATCTTTTCAGAATCTTTAGAAGAACCAGATGTTCTTGATAACAGTGAAGAGCAGACAGATGACAAAATATCAGATACAGAGCAGATGGACCAAGTGATTGAAAAAGCATCTGTCACAGAAGAATCAGAGGAGAAACAAGAAGAGAACAAGAGTGAGGAAACTTCAGTGAATGAAGACAAATCAACAGTTTCCGTAGCTGATTCTAGTCCTAACCCTGAACTAAGTGAAGAATCTTTAATGACAATGTAGTAAATGCTTCCACGTGCCTTCAACTGGATATTTGTAGTCTTGTTGATGTCAGTTTGTTGCTTTTTAGGTGGTTCTTTCTATATTTTTCCCCCTCTAAGGAAATGCTTGAAATCATTTGACTTCAGATTTGCTACCTATTTCAATATGTCAAAGTTATATATCTACTGGGAGTTAAAATTAAAAGCAAGTGATGTCAGTAAAATAAGATCCTTTTGTACAAAGGATGTACAAAGACCCATACTGTTGAGATAGCTTTTAGATTTTTTTCATTCTAAAAGTAAACAAACATGATAGCATCCTTGTTTCCTATGTGTGACCTGTAAATAATATCCATTTTAACATAGGAAGAACTTTGGTTAAGTTCTAATAGTGTTTGTTTTGAGGAATGAAACACAACTGAGATTTTTAATGTCAACATTAAAAATGGATAGGATTTTAACTTTTTGGACATTTTCTGGGGGGATATCTATTTAAGCATTTACATTTAGTGGTGTAAAAGTTTTAACCGTAACTACATAGTTGGTACGAATTTTCAGTAAGAATGCTATTCAACAGTCAAGTGCAGTGTTTCTTTTTGATGTCTATTATTTTGCAGCTGGGCCAAAGGCACATGATGTATATAATTAGCTTATGTTTACATATTTACATACAGGAAACATCTCTGCACTTGACTGTACTTGAATTCTGAACATTATTTATACTTGTAAAATAATGATACATATGTGAATTTTGTGCTCTTGTATGTTTTTTTTGTTAAGGAAAATACAGATGATCTGGCAGTTTATTTCTGTTAACTATCTAGACTTCTTCAAAACAGTATTTTGGTGGATGACTTGGCTACCTGAAAAATCCAAGTAGGAAGAACTGACAATACAGTAAATAAATCTATAGATTCGTGTGTTATAATGCTTTTATTCAGACTTGTTGCTTTTCAAATTCAGGGATTGTGAGGACAAATTTTGTGAAAAGAGGCAATGAGTTACTTACTGGTTGTTTCTTGGATTTAATATGTGTATAAAGGATTAACTGAGGAAAAAAATTACCCGTAATGGTAATTAGACTTAATTACAGTGTGGCTATGTTTTCTAGCTTCCTTTGATCACTCTACTCCTCTATTAAAAAATAAATTATGCCAAAGGGAGGAATATGTAAGAATAGTGTATGTGACAAATACTTCTAAGTTGTACACAGTTTACTAAAAAATTAATAAAATATTTGTTATCATTTAAAAAGCCATCTTTATCATTTAATATCTTATAGTCTGATAGATATTTTTAAGGAATTCAATCTGTTAATAGTCTGAGGTGTCATGATATGGGACCACAGTGTTCACGATTTTGGAATTGGGTTTAAGTTCAAGCACTGCTATATTGGCCAAGTCACCTGTCTCACCTGAGACTGTTTTTCTATCCATAATGTGGGAAGAATATTTTCTGGGGCATATGGAGATGATCGAGATTTTATGTGATGTGGATATTAAGTAAATGATAGCATTTTATATATCTGTATATAATATAGCCTTCTGAAGTATGGAAGGGCCATGAATCTTTCCTTTTGCAAATAAGGAAATTTTAAAAATATATATGAACATGTATTCAGCTGCTCAGAATCAAGTCAAAAGCTTTTTGTATCCACTTTTCTCTATCATGTATGTGTGTATAAATATGTAGATTAAATCATTTTGAGATAAAGTAGGAAACTGAAACTATGGAATATGTTTTATTTTTGATGAGTTCCACTATGTTTTTTTGTGTTATTGACCCATTAACTTTCTATTAATACCTTGCAAAGTCTTCTCTAAAACTTTCACTTTATGATATATGTTGCTTGAAAATGAGAACTATCTCAAGAAATAGAATTTAATGATAATATCAAGTAGATATTATGAAAAATATCTTTGGGGGCCTCCCGGGTGGCGCAGCGGTTGAGCGCTGGGCTACAAAGCTGCCTGCAGCCTCTGCAGCGCCGGTTTGATACCCGGCCGCCTGTGAGGGTCCCACATGGCCTGCAGACCTCTCCTGCCTCCCGCTGCTCCCTTCAGCAGTGTATTTCGTCGGTCTGCCTGTTCTGTTCCCCGCTCTGGTGAATCCTCTCACCCTCCTACGCTTCTGACTGTACCCAATCTTTAAAAAAAAGAAAAAGAAAAGAAAAATATCTTTGGAAAAAATAAGAAGGTTAAAGTAAAATTAATGCAACTGGTAATTTGCTGTAACTGTAAAATAGAAATATTTATTCTGATACTGTAATAAAGTTAATGGTTGAAAGAGTGTAAAATGCCCCATTTCTGATTATTAAGACTAGTATAAATGAAGAAAAGCAAGCTATTAAGACCATGCCCAGTGTGATCTTAACTTCCCTACTATTAATGCTCAACAGGTCATCATCTAATCTGTTCTCAGTATGTCCTCAGCATGATCCACAAGCATGATCTGGCTTTTGTCTCTCCTTTCTCCCCATTGTTGAGCTATAGCTTCCTGGGCCTCTGGTTCTCTCACCATGCTGAGTCCTTTCTTGCCTTAAGTTTCAGTTTAAATTTTTCCTCCTTAGAGGACCTCCCAGATTCCCTATTGAATGGTGGCTTCTGCCTTTTTTTTTTTTTTTTAAAGATTTATTTATACAAGAACTGGGGTGCAGTCAGAGGCATGGGAGGGTGAGAGAATTCACCAGAGACAGAGCAGGGAGCAGAACAGGCAGACGGACTGAAGACACTGCTGAGGGGAGAAGTGGAGTGAGACAGGAGAGGTCTGCCATGCCATGGGGGTTGCTCCCTGGCTGGCCGGGGATCGAACCCGCACTGCAGAGGCTGCAGACAGCTTCACAGCGTGGCTCTCAACCCACTGTGCCACGAGGAGGCCTGGCTTCTACCTTTTATGCTCAATCACATCACTATCTCTAGAATTGGCCTTATCACAATTTATAAGTATCTTATTCACTAGTTACTGTATCTTCACAACAATGTCTGTGTGTAGCACTCTTACTTGTCTTGTTTTTTTTTTTTTTTTTTTTTTTTTTTGTCTCCAGAGCTTCACACAATGCTTGATACATTTATTATGTGGATGATTAACTTTGTTGCTAAATCCAGTGAAAACTCTCAAGTTATTTCACTTGGAGAATTTACATTGTTGAGTACTCTCTTTTGTTTGAAATATTTTTTTTGCTTTTGTGTTATCACACATGGTGTATGTGCCAAATATTTCTAAGTTGTACACAGTTTACTTCTTACTTCTTGGCTGCCTTTCTCAGTGTCCTTTGTGGGCTTTCCTTCCCTGCCCATCCTTTGTATTGCATAGGTTCTACTTAACCATTGCATTTCTTCTCTTCAACCTCCATCAGCTTAATTACCATCTATCTCGTGGATCCTCAGACCGCCAGCCTCGATCTGTTTCCCTCACTTTAGAGCTATGTATCCACCTGCCTGTTGGAATGTCTCTCTCACAAAATATATATTTTTAAGTAAAACTCTGTCCTTCTTCAAACCTTTCAAACTTATCAAGCCTTCTGTGTTTCTCATCTAATAGCACCACTGTGTGGAACAGAAACTCATCCCTTCCTATTTTAGCCTATATCTTATCTATTAGTATCTCCTAAATTTCCTCAGTTAAGCTCTCATTTTTCTATTCATTAACATTACATTAATAGTGATATAAACATCTGCATTCTTACTCTGTGTGTCAGTATATTAGCTGTTGGATAGCTATTATTGTATATATTCTTTGGCAACGATCCAGTGGGATTATGGGAACAAAAACAAGTGTAGAGAGAATGAACAATTTGGTTCATGGGAAATTTAGGACTTGAATGCAAGCAAATTTCTTCAGAGGTCTTGCTCTTAATTACTGTTGTGCTGCCTTTTAATTCAGGTCTTCTTCGTCTCAAAATGCCTTCTTAAGAGGTCTCCTTTCTTCAGTCTTGCCTACTTGCTATCTGTGCTGCGCTGTAGCTTACTGCGTTTTAAAATTCAAAACTTAATCACGCCATAACATTGCTTAAGCCTTTTAATGATTCCTCACTGTTTTGGGGAGAAGGTCCTGTGATTCTCTGCCTGTGGTATCTTCTCACTCACATAGACATAAGGGGACACAATATATTGTTCTTGAACTGAATTGAAATAACGCCAGTTAGAACCCAAGTTTGGGAATTTTGATAGTTATTAAGCTATACCTTTTATTCTTGAAATTGGTCTTCCTTATTTTATGCATCATACACAGTAGTATTGTAATGGAGAACAATTGAGTCAGGAGGGCAGTAGCTTCATGTGCGTGTGAGGGAGATACTCATACAACAACTTTAACTAAAAGAATTCTGAGTATCAGAAAAGCTGAATGATTTATACAAGGTTGGATAAGAAAGTAGCTGACCAGAACTGAGATCTCAACGCAGGGTGCTTTATATGGAGCCACTACTTTTACACTGCCTATCAATATTGGTGTTCGAGTTTAAGATTACTTTAAAAATGTGATATGTTTATTTCTATTTCCAACTGACAGCAACTACTTAAGTATTTTAAAAACCTTTTATACTTTTTCTTACATTACTTTACACTATTATTTATATTCCTTTATAATATTTCCTGTTGGATTTGTGTGCAAATCAGTTAGTTGAAATGTGAAAGAATTGATGCGTTATAGCTATTTTGAAACAATCATGGGGAATAAGAACTGCTTTAGGAATTGGGAGAAAATGATGCAGTAAAGTTATCTGGTATTACTTCAATTCATCATAAAAATTATAGAATAATAAATAGCTCTTACCTAAGAGCTATATTAAAAAAGTTTCAGATACTTATGTAAACCTGAGCCAAGATGGTTGTTAAAATGATCTGCTAAATCTCAGAGTTTGTAATTTGGCTTGTTTTAAAAATTAAAGATTGAAATATATTAACCACCCAATTAATAGTATTAAATTCAGGCTCTGAATTTAGATAACTGTAAATATAGAAAAGTACATTTGTTATGAACAATTAAAATATGAATACAGAATTAAAATCCTATTAAATTCTATCCATAAATGGTTAATTTGTCTCAGCCTAGTTTCTTCTCTCCACAGAAACTATATTCTATTTTAATACTATTTTAAGACATCTTTTTCAAAAATTGCTGAATTTACTGGATAGTAGGTGTCGCCTCTTTTTTTTTTTAAGATTTATTTATGTAAGAACTGGGGTAGAGGTCAGAGGCGTGGGAGGGTGAGAGAATTCACCAGAGACAGTGGGGAGCAGAACAGGCAGACTGACCAAAGACACTGCTGAAGGGAGCAGCAGGCGAGACAGGAGAGGTCTGCTGTGCCATGTGGGTTTCTCCCTGGCTGGCCGGGATGGAACCGGCACTGCAGAGGCTGCAGACAACTTCACAGCACTGCGCTCAACACCATGCACCAACGGGGAGGTCCTCGCCTCAAGTTTGAAACTTATATTCCATTTAATTTTCCTTTCTTTTTCCTCCAGGGGTCTTTATGTGTGGCTCAGTTTGTGTTACTCATGGGCATTAGAAGAAAACACTACCCACTTCTGTAGTTCTGTATTATTTAATTTTTAAAATCTAGGTTTTCTGCTTTATGTATTTTCCCTAGTTAAAAAAATATAAACCTTTTTTTCTGTGGTAGCAAAACTGATGGATGTTAGAAGCACTTGGAGAAGATTAATAAGTATCTTCAAAAAAATCTGCCTCATAAATTAGATTTTTAAGTTCTTATTCCAGAATTGTGTGAGAATAGGCCAAATTTTCAGCTGCCAAAAACTTTTACTAGATCCCTGGCATTTGATTTAGGAAAACTGGGAAAAAATCATTCATTTTTATGAAAATGAGTACTTCTTAGTCTGATTTTGAAGGGTGAAGAAAGTTAAAGGAACATTTTTAATACCTGCTCTCAGGAAGCACTATGCTCCAGGGACTTTCACATCCGTCCTCCCTCCGTTCTCAGCAACCATGTGAGGAAAAGGGATCCTATCAAGGGGGATTAAATTAATTCCCCAAGATCACTCAGTTTAAAGAAGTTGTAAATGCAATTGGAACATTGGCTCTTTAAGTCCTTGCCTCTTTTTTTTTTTAAAGATTTATTTATGTACGCATACAAGAGCTGGGGTATGGGCCAGAGGTGGCGGGGGAGGCATGAGGGGGTTCACCGGAGAGAGTAGGGAGCAGAACAGGCAGATGTACTGAAATACACTGCTGAGGGGAGCAGTGGGCAAGACAGGAATTGTTTGCTGCATCCAGTCCTTGCCGCTTTTACCATCTATGAGCCCTCTTTCTTTGGTAGCTGAAAGAAATATGTGAATGCTTTTCTGGTTTCTCCATATTTTTGATACTCAAGTGTTCCTTCTTCAAGGCCTGATAGCCTAACACCCATCAGACTCTCCACTCATACACCACCCCCTTGAAATTCTCTGTTTCCCACGCCAGTCTATGAACTTGAAGGCAGGGTCATATCTGGTTTTGCTTATCATTATGTTCCTAGTGTTTGGCATAGAAAGGACACTTAATAAACGATCTGTTGCACAGACAGCACATGTGCGCACGCCTTCACACACACAGTGGGTGACACTGCTATAGTTTTAGTGCAAATTTTATAGCGTGGGGAATTTTGCAAATCTCACATTATTTGAATTATTGAGTAGGAAAAAGGCCAGATAATTTGTTACAACTAGGCAAATTCTGATTGACTCCTTTGTCTTTTTTTTTTTTTATCATGTGCTTTGCAGTTTGAGTTTTATAACCCCAAAGCAAAGAATGTTCTAAGGAACCTTTGTGTATTGCAGACTCCCTAGGTGAACTGTAAGCATGTTCTTCAGAACCAAAATCCTTTTTCTAGTTTTTT